CAAACAATAACGGGAAAGGGTGATTATGTAGTATATAAGAAATCGTATTTACTACAAGGATTTGGAATCATTGGAGTAATAAGAAATTCACTCCATCTTACTGAAAGCCACGTCTACTGCACATATGGGACTACAAAAGCATGTGGAAGGAAATCGGTGCCAGCCTTTCTGCTGATTCCCCTTTTTATGTCGAAATATAAGGGCGTTTGAAGAACAATAATTTTCAGGGGAAATTTCTCATTTTTTTTCTTCACACTGACATATGAAGAGAACTTCAAAGTTATTTATGCACATTTAGCAGGACTCCTCTTTACTTCTCTTTAAGTGTTGATGATAATGAATTGGTGCTCTTATGTAGCCCTGAACGCCAATAAAATATGACCAGTCGTCAACGGCATGATGAATTTCTGAGGCGTGTATGAATTCATGCGATTTGCGGCAGACATTATACATGTCATACATAAAAGAGATATGATTGATATCATTATTGGGTGATATAGAGGAGAGAGAGAGAGAGAGAGAGCATGAAAGAGGGCACAAACTAATATCGAAACAATAAGATGAAAGGAAGAAAAAGAGAGTGATGATGATGATGATGATGACGCCAACGCCAACGATGACGAAAAGAATGGAACTCGATTTTGAGACATGTACCGTTCTTTTAAAGACAACGATGATCATTTCATCTTATTTTAATGCGTGTATGATAATTGTTGACCAGAGGCACAAACTGAAATATATGTAAATGAACTGAAAAATAAAGTGTTTACAAAGTTCTAGTTATAATAACGATGATGATGCTGATGATGATAATAATTTTATCATGATAAAAAGCGGTAGTATTGTAATTAGAACTCAGATGATAAGAACTGTATGATTGTGATGTGGCCTAAACCAAGCGAATCTGCGATTTGTCATTCAAAATCCACTTTCATTCGCACTATGATAATTTTCGACAGGATTAAACTCCTTCCAAAATATTTAACAAAGTACGCTTTCGTGGTTTATTTTCAAAGTTTATATAAAAAGTACAGGTATGACACATACAATACTTTTGCTCAAATATTGGCGGCCCTCGGTAGGATGTTTTTTTTAATAATTCTGCGCGAGATTTTTGTTATTTTTCTTATTTTTGTTGAACATAAGGGGGGCGTGGATGGTGTCATGGGGGTGGCTCAGAATTTATCAGGGGCAGATGACGTTATAGAGAACTCGGTCATCGAATGAAAGGAGAAATGGGAGAGTTCACCTGATACTTCATTTCCTCACTCAATTTCTTCGTATTTCTTCCCCTTGTCCTTCTTTTCGACATACTTAGGGGGCATGCATGTGCACCCTACGATCTCGTAGCTCCGCCACTGATTGACACGATCGAGTTACACTGTTAACAGTTCCGGACGAGGCGTCTAATATGGTTATGTGAATTATTACCCGGATTACCCTCCTTATTTGAGCGTTGCGTCATTTTAGAATCCCACCTTCTTGTTCTACGTCTTCCCCACCAAGCGGTGGAGTAGCGTAGATCTAGCCAATGGGGGACCTGGTGCCATGGGGATTTTTTTAGTTTTTTTAGTTTTTGGGGAAGGGGGGGGTGCCGGTTTAGTTAAATGCATACAATACCGAAAGAACAAGACTGTTGAGTGGGGTGAGGGTTTGGGATTTTCTTTTACGTTGTCTCCTTTCTCCAACTCCGAATCTTTCTCTCTCTTTCTCTCTCTCTCTCTCTCTCTCTCTCTCTCTCTCCTTCTCTCTTTCTGTCTTCTCCGTTTTTTCCCTTCATATTTCATGGGGGGGGGGGAGGGACATGCTTCCAGTAGCTACAACACAGCCTCCAAACTTCTGCATCTCTTGTATAACGTTACGTAACCATAGTAATAAAGTTGCACCCATAAGGGGTCGAGAAGAAAGACTGGAATCATATCTATATTTTTGTTAGTTCCAAAGCCAAGGTTGGAGTTTCTGACAAACGGTACGGTTACCGTGAAGATGCGATTAAGACCAATCTCTAATCGCGAATTCACACACTGTCTCTGGAGCTATCATGAAAACTGTTTTTTGACATGGTCTATCCGTATCCTCCTTCTCAAACTGTCTTCAAATAGTTCGCTACTTTCTTCTTGGTTCTGTTGAATTTTTTAAATTGATCAGAAACATGTAAAAAATGGAGTGAAAAAGTGTTAATAATAAACTCTAAAAGTCTAGATAGCCAGAGGAGTAAATAAATGGAGTTCTATATTACACTGTCACCTCACATCACTTTTATAATTGTCTTCCATAACCTTTTGGATTGTATTGGACATGTAAATCAGTCGAATAGTATATCAGTTCAATAGAACTATTGATCATTACACATAGCTTACTGAAATAATTTCCCTGATCGGACCTTATCAGCATTGGGTATCTGTTCTACAAGATACGTGAGATATCATTATTACATTCCTCTTGGCGGGAAAGGGCTGCCCAATTTATCATACCTTAACCCACATTTGTCTGAAATAACAAGATCACTCGACTGCTCACGCTCCAAAACGGATTAGTTTCAATGATCGCATCCTATTTTATTTCTCTATCTCCTCCCTCTCTCTATTAATTCTCTCTCTCTCTCTCTCTCTCTCTCTCTCTCTCTCTCTCTCTCTCTCACTGACTCATTCTCCTTTTCCTTGCTAGCTCTCAGTCCGTACTCACTACTACCTCGTTGTATACCCCCCCCCTCTCTCTCTCTCTCTCTCTCTCTCTCTCTCTCTCTTCCTCCTCTTTACCTTATTCCACCCATGTCTTTACCATGCACGTCCTCATCCTTTTGTTTTCTTTCCCTTTCCCCTTTCTCTTTCTCTGCCTATCCACATCTCGTCTCAGTATCACTCCTTTTTTTGCTCCATCTCCCAATTCCCTCCATTTCCCCTTATCTCTCTCTCTCTCTCTCTCTCTTTCTTCTCTCTCTCTCTCTCTCTCTCTCTCTCTCTCTCTCTCTCTCTCTCTCTCTCATGTTCACACGCAAGCTTATTATCCCTTACTACAAACTCAGTTCGCCATCATTAACCCTATTTCGTCATTCCATCATTGTGTTCGTTTTTTCTCTCTCTCCCTCTCTGTATCCCTCTCAGGATGTCCCGATCTCTTATATCCATATATACACGTTATTCATTTGTGTTAATTTTGTTTTGTCCCCCCCCCCTCTCTCTCTCTCTCTCTCTTTCTCTTCATTCTGCACTCATCCTTACTACATGATTGTCATTCCACGGCTTGTGAGTGATAAGAGACTAAGCATTATAGTTGGATTGAGAAATTTGAAAGTCGCATATTCCAAAAGTATGTCATTCAAATACTGAAAATCAATCAAATTTCGTAATGCTGAAGTCACGCTGTGCCCAAAGGGGGTTACATCGAGATCGGCTGTAAATGCTTATTCCTTGTCTTCCACAGTTAGACATTTTGTAACTGTACGGAAGAGGAACTTTACGAAATGCTTTGTGGTTAGGATTTGGAAGTATCACATCACGAGTTTGTTTCCTGCCAACTGTGTTATCGCGCGTGAACATGTATGTATGTGGGTAGGTGTGGGGGGATGTGTGTGCGTGTGCGTGCCTGTGTGTTTGCCAAATGGCGAATGACCAAAGCAAGCAGGTGCACAAAATGCGGTCTAAACTCCACAGCAAGTTTCGTTGTTGTTAAAGACCAGTGAGTGCAGTTGGGTCAAAAATGCCAGAAGGGCAAATGCATCCGCAGTTGCTGGTCCCACTCCTACAAGGTCCACTGACCTAACACATCCATGTTAATGTGGCGCCACGCCTGGCGCCTCCGATGATTCTGGTGGAGAAAGTGTGTTAATAGGGCGGTAAGTGAGTACCAGCGGGAGGTGGAGTCCGTCCGTACACCAACCTCATCCAGCCAGGTCACAGCCCAGTAGCATCTCACTGCGGTGGATAGTTGGATGGCTACCAGACTTATCAATTTATCAAATACAACCTCTCATTGTGACCATGGTATAAGTGATTATATTGAAGTTTAAAGTAAAATGCAGAATAAAATGAATGCCTTATAGTCCTTAAACTCAAAAGTTGGCTAGCACCGTGCTATCTGTGTACAAAGGAACTCATCAAATATTCTGGACTTCTTCTGGACTTACACTTTTTTTTAAAGCTGAATTTGAATTAAATTATATACATTATATGAATAAAAACATACGAATTAAATAATAAAGTATAATATGATTAATAGTAAATTATAGTAAAAAGCATTGTTTTGATATCCTCATTCAGTTATTGCGGCAACTGTTAATTGCTACTTATTATGAATTTACTCAAAACGAGTTGTGAAAAATGTTTAATTTTTGCTTAAATAGCAACAAAAAGTCTTTATATTGCCGACCCTAAACTACCCGATTATCACCATTTCTAAAGTGTCCGAATCGCAATGACGCGTGGCTCGTACGCACTAAAACAAACGAGTTCTTAGGAAACTCATACCATCATCGTAAATACTCACTAATGACCGGATGTAAATGTCCAAGTGAATGTACACATCCAAAGACAACTTCCAATTAGTTTTATCAAATGTTTCATTACGCCTGCGCGGAGGTGGTGATCCGTAGCAACGGCGAAGCACGATACAAAAAAAAAGACTATCGTGAATTACGGCCATGTCAGAGCGTAATTTTGTTAATTAAATTTTCGTGCTATCATCTCTGTTTGTCTTCTTGTTTCTTACGCCATACAGGTCGAAAGAAGTGATTGACCGGAGGTGCGAAAGACGCGGCTACCTACATGTACGGCTTTAGTGATGACTGGACGCTGTGATGTGTGAAGCATTCTTTTCGTCGGAAAACTTCTTACTGAGCAAGACAGGGTGCCATTGAGAGCCAGCGATGATGACGTAATTAGTCTCTCCTCTTGAACCAAGCGACAGGTCATTTAACTTGGCGAACTTGCAAGAAAACGCCAAGGAGTCGTTTTGGAGAATACTATCGCAGTATTCTGTAGGTTGACCAACTCAGCAGCCCAATGGGTGGCAACTTCATCACACAGTCTGAATCACAAGACGTATCAAACACGAGAGACAACATGGGGATTGATCACAACCTTGCATCATCTGACCTGGCGCCAAGCGCCTACATGAGCTCCAATTATCCAGACCTGAACTTTTCGGCATGGGACAACTCGGACTACTCGTCCTTCTCTCCGAATAAAGATTGCATCGAGACGAACTATAATGTCTCTGAGGGTGTCAAGGTGTTCCTTACAGTGTCTTTCGTCCTGACCATAGTCGTATGCGGCATTGGTAACTCCTTACTCTGTTTCCTGATCGTAAGGCATAAGAGGCTCCGGAGCGTCACCAATCTCTTGATTGGTAACCTTGCAGGATCGGACGCGTTGGTGGCGCTCTTCAGTGCACCCTTGTCACTGCACGCGTACTTGCAGCAGGACTGGACGTTGCCTTCCGTCCTGTGTCCCATTGTTGGAACGGTCAAAAATGTCTCGCTCTACGTGTCGGTCAACACACTCCTAGTGATTGCGATAGACAGGTAAGACTGATATTCCATAACCATTTTGTGTCCTTTGGATTCGATATCTTTTTTATATTTTTTCCCCCGCTATATAAACTGATAGGCCTATAAGTTGTGTGCCTACAGGAAGATCTACAGTTAGAACATTTCGACAGTAAGTTTTATTAATCAGCAGAAATTGGTTGATTGTGTGAAAAAAGATGATACAGTAAAGTCACATATCTTTCCATTATGTAAAGTAAAGTCTACCCGATCATGGTCTCCGAACTTAAATATCTAATTTTTTTCGGAGCGCCCTCTACCTCTAAACTAATATGAAATTTTATTTTAATCACTAGAGAATGGCGGAGAGCACGAGAGTAAGGAGGATGAGTAAAGAGCGAGGCAGAAAGTAAGAGAGAAGAACGGAGTGGGAGAAAGGGATAAAGAGAGAGAGAGAGAAAAAGAGAGAGAGAGAGAGAGAGAGAGGGAGAGATGGAGAGAGGAAAAGGGGAGATAGGAAGCAAGAGAGAGATAGAGAGAGAGAGAGAGAGAGAGAGGGGGGAGAGATAGCACGATGAGTTAACATCTGTAGTAGATAACTGATGATGTATTGAGGGCAGCCGGGGGACTACTTAAACGTTGCCCTGTATTTATTCAGGGTCTTACAAGAAGGTCAACGGTCAATACATCAAATATATCTACAAGGATAGGATACTGTCCCCGATTTCAAAATTATTATTGGCAAGCCTATCCCTGAAAATTATTTAGGGCGGTAGTTTAAGATGGTTCTGACATTTTTATAGGGCGCATGAGAGAGATTAAAAGAGAGGGAAAGGGAGAAAGGGAGAATGATAAGAGATAAAGAGGGGGAGAGGAAATAGGAGAGTTACTATCTAAGGTAGATAATTGATTGACGGTAACGAGGAACCACGGTAATGTCCGCTATTTTGTTAAGGGTCATTGTCCTAGGACAACAGCCAAAGATAAATACAGTACGAACCTTTTTTGTCTGAGGATTCCGTCAAATATTTCTTAAATAATTAAGTTCTATTCAAAGGAATTTCATCATTTTTATGCCAAGAACTGTCTCTGTTTTTCAGTCCTTTTCTAAAACGGTTTATAGAGGATTAAAAATGTCAGTGGGGCTCAACAGGAAAAATAGAATGATATTAAGAGACGGGGGAAAAGGGGGAAGAGGATAAGAAAGAGGTAAGAGAAAAAGAGAAACATAGGGAAGACAAAGAGAGAGAGAGAGGGGGAGAGAGAGAGAGAGAGAGAGAGAGGAGAGGGAGAGAGAGAGAGGGGTGGGGAGAGGGGAATACTAGATTCAATATCTAGAGTAGATGATTTATTGAAAAGAGTAGGATACCAATGTCATATTCCAATATTTATACGGGGTCCCCAACAAGTGTAGAGGTCAAATATACATGTAAATACATCGATTATTTCCGGCAACCATTCTGATCTGAACTCAAGAGATGTGATTTCGCTGCGTACGATAACTGTATATTCTGAAAATCTTTCGAGCGAGTTATAGATGTTGACATATTCAATTTTCAGAGTTAGAGTAAGACATTTCTATTTGAAGTCACATCTCGTGATCACTGCTTGTATGGGGTTGTCCTGGTTTGTTAAAGAGCATGCTATCAGAAAAATAGGGTTCTACGGAAATTTATTGAGTTTGTTTTGGGGTATTATTATTTTCATGCGATTTCTCGCCCTCTCCCTTGCACTGACGCTTAGGTTAATTGATTTTACAAACTAATCGAATCCCTGGAGGTGCTACAACTGTGACACACAAGTGATCCTTTTTCTCTTTCTTAGCTCTTTTACCATCTCTCTCTCTCTCTCTCTCTCTCTCTTTCTCTTTTCCGTCTCTCTATCCCTTTCTATCTCCCCTCTCTACCTCTTTAGGTTCCACTGTTTGTTCTACATCTTTGTCTTTCTCTTTTTCTCCTCTCTACACCACTTTCTTTCTTTATCATTTTCTTTCCCCCTTACATTTCTCGTAATCTTGTCATCTATCTCATTTCTTTCAATTTCTCTTTCTCTTTCTTTTGATCCTCTCAGTCTACCCGTGCCTTTCATTCTATCCTTTATGCATATTTGAATCCCTTTCATTATCTCCATCTCACCCCTCCCCCTCTCCCCCCCCCCTCTCTCTCTCTCTCTCTCTCTCTCTCACACACACACACAATCCGTCTTTCCATCTGTCTTTCCATCTGTCTCACTGTTTTACTCATTCTTGCATTCATACATACTCTTCTCTTGCATACCTCATTATACCTTAATATCTCACATAATGAACATTCTTCTCTTTTTACCACATCACTGTTAACTCATTTTCCTGTCTTTATAATATGTAACTTAACATTATTCTTACTCATTACTGCATAATTATATAAGATAAAAATTCATGAATATACATGTATCAAAGCTGAGATATTTATGTTCGTATGAACCGAGATCCTTCTCTATATTTAGCTATGGAGATCCTATTCAACTGGTTTTTCAGAATTCTGCGTAAAATCTTATTATCTCGGCGATTCTCCCCTTACTCCGAACTGCTGGTCATTCGTCATCTAATAACACGCGTGCTCGCTGCGCGCGAAATCGTTGAAAACAAATTTTTGGAAGGGTATGGTGTCGTCTGCATGTGACATATTTTGCGGGTTGTTAACTCTGGTGTGTCTTGCCTGGCAGATGCCTCGCTACTGACAGTTGTTGGTTGATTTATGACTCGTTTGCATGGATGGACGGTTTAAAGGTCCAAGTCAAGCAAGATAATGATATATGTACATGTATTTCGAAGAAAATGGAAGAAAGAGAAGAGAAATGAACGAATGAATAAATAAAAAGGAATAAAATAGATAAGTGAATCATAATTAGTTAAGTAATGATAGTAATAATGATAATGATAATGATTGGTATTATTAAAAGTAAGATGACTAGAATCTAAATAATGATACAACTGATATCATAATAATAATAATGGTAATACTATTACTACTACAGCGATATTGATCAACTACTTCTACTACTACTACTACTACTTCTACTACTGCTGTTGCTTCTACTAATAATAATAATAACAACAGTAATAATAATAATGATAATGAAAACAGGTATCACTGTTCTCGGGGAATCAAAGCTGAAAATCTTTCCTATTCCCATTTTTGTTATGAATTTGCCTTCCTTAAAAAGTTGTTTGGTATTGTTTGTCGTTATACCTGCATCTTTTTCTATTTTCTCTTTCTTTTAGAAGAATGTTTTAAATCATTTCATCTGTGTTGTTCTCTTTTCAAGTCTGAGTCTGATTCCTTCCTCTTTCATATTGATTTTTAACGTACATCAATCTGTGTGCGAATCTATAGGAAAATATAGGGAACAAAGTATCTTCTTATATTTTCTCTGAAATTTCTTCCTGTCACTTTAGTTCTATGTACGTGTGGTGTTTGACGCATATTATTTTAGCAATTTTGTTCGTGTAAGGCATTCATGTTACATGTACAGTTATCGAGTTACGACATATACGCGGAAACAAAAATCTATTCGGTAATTTCTTGTTAAATCAATGAAAATAGGAATACGACAACTATTACATGAACAGTAGAGTTAACAAAATACGCAGGAAAACAAATCCATTTGGTGAAATTTAAATCAATGAAAATGGAAGGAGATAACTAAAGCATCTCTAAGGTCCTTGACCTTAACTGAAATATGAGAAATACAATTTTAAAGGAAGGAAAAATCGAATCTTTCAGTGCTATTGAAAATTCGCTTCGTGACAGTCACTCATATGCCGCTTTCTTATTTTTTATTAACCGTTTTGTACTGTAAAAAAAAAATGACACCGAGAAAAACGGATGCTGGAGCTTCCATTGAATTAAGAATTATCGATCAAACATCGCCATTTCCAGATCCGTCTCTGAAATCAGATTTCTTCCTCGGAAAATATTTGTTTTGTTTGCGTCGCATTCAACCGCATATTTTTCATTTGTTAAGATGTAAGTGCTAAAATATTCTCACGCACTTGACCTTTTATCTGATCTAGGCACACACAGCAAAGTGATCTACTCTCCTTTACATTGAATGCCCTTTTCAGGATGTAGATGGAAAAGGAGTTGTTAGACATAGTAAGAATAATATATTTTTCTTTCTTACTTTAACCTTTTCTTCATCTTATCTTTCTTATGAAGCTCAACGATATAAATACTTCAAAATATCACATGGAGTTCTATTTCATCTGATAATGTTTCGGAGGAGACTGAGCTTCTAAAATTGATGCAATTGACTTAACTTTCAATCTTATACAGTCATGTATATCGTTTTGTAATACTTTAAAATTCCTTATATACTTTCCATGAACAAAATTTCATCTCTGTGATGTAATGAATATTATCAAGTAGTGTATTAAGTTTTGAAAATTGAATTGTACCATTGTCTATATTTTCATTTTATTAATTTACCTTTGTATATTTTTTCATTGTAAATGTGGCAGTATTATTCGCTGGAGTTTTGGCATGTTTTGGGGTTGTCTATAAAATCGAAATTGAATCGAATTTAAATGAATTATAGCCATTTGGAGGTCTTTTTTTAATGATTACATCAAGATAGAGGTGCAAATTCCAGCCTATATATAATATTTCTTTCTTTATCATGGTATGTATATGCTCAGTTAAAATAAAGGCTCACTTCAACGTTGTCCTCTTTAAATTTCCCTTTGGATTATGAAGTTGTACTTTATCATAATGAAGTATACAATCGTGATTTGAATCATAATGATCCGTCCAGTTCCTTACAAGATGTACTGAGTGTATAACTTAATAAATTGGTTTGTATAAAGATCAAAACGATGATATAACATTTATACAAGCAAAGGACATCATCTACGTCATCCAATTCTTTAATTGAAAATATCGCATTTTCATGGGGTTGAGGTTGGAGCTGAAAGTGAAGATTTATGAACGTCCTGAGAGCATGTTCTGAGCGTCTGGAACATTATCCCCTTTATTCTAACGTAAACTAACCGTCGT